AGCAAGGTGTATATATATATATATATATATAATATACACACACATACACACACAAAGAAAAACACGTAGATAGAATAGAAAAAATAGAAAGCTAGTTTTTTTTTTTTAATAAAGAATAATAAAAAAAAGATAAATATAGATGAAGTATAATTAAAATAAAATAGAAAGTGTTAGAGCTAGAGGGTCAAATAAAGTTGGAACAGATGTGTTTTAGTCGTTTCTTGAAGATGGTTAAGGACTCAGCTGCTGGGATTGATTTGTAGAGGCATACAAAACTCAACTTATCTAACAAATGTCCCTCACTATTCCCTTTATAACTGTCTCTATTAAATAAATATTCCAGTGCATGTTGCAAAAAGAAACTCTTTCAGCATGAGGTCAAGGAGGACATGACGAAACAGGAAAGTGTGGGAGTATATATGGGAAATAAACAGAAAATTATCCACTTTCCACTCAGCAGAAAAAGTGAAACGAAATGAAAAAGCCCAGCAGCCTATTGTTGTTTATTTTCGTAAAACTGAGAGCCATGCTAATTTATTTATTTTTTGATGTCAATCAAACATCTGCAAGACTATTTTTTCTTTGTCAAAGGAGCTATAATCTCCCACTCATTTGAGCGATATGTGTCCTTTTGACTTCAGCAGTTCCCAGAGCTGATAGACATCAACTGATGGGATTTGGCATATAGCGCTGATGTAACTGAGCAATAAAACCTGAAGTTATTTGCATATCAAATGAATCAAACTGGTCTAAGACTGTTGTTTTGTAGCATGCGAGTAAGTCTCTGAAGTGACTGCAGTACATGATGTGCAGTGATGGAGGGTTGTTTGGAAGCCTCAGGGGTTCTTAAAGGGATAGTTCACCTAAAAATGACAATTCTGTCATTATTTACTCACCCTCATGTCGTTTGACTTTATTTCTTTCATGGAACGAATCATATGGACTATTTTATAGATATATTTGTCATTTTGGAGGCTTTATAGACTGAGTTCCCATTTTCTTTGAATGGGAAAGAACGGCTGGTATATTCTAAGATTTTTCCCTGTTGCGCTTCATTGCAACAAAGAAAGTCATACAGGTTTGGAACGACATGAAAGTGAGTAAATGATGATTTCATTTTCATTATTTGATTTTCGTGTTTTCAGTATTTTAATCGAATTATTCTGCCTTTCCAAAATTAGCTTCCTGCATAGATGTCCTGAGCACTAGAGCCGTATTCAACAGAACTCTGAAGTGTTTGTGCAAGTAGTCTGTTCATTCTTAGTGAATTTACCGCTCAGCTGTTGAAATCCATGTTACCTGTGATAGTTCACATTTGACTGCTAGAGCTTTCATGAAATCATTACGTGCCAATAGACTCTCTTCATTTCCTGATTTCAAGTTTATTAAATATACATTAAAATGTTTATTCATGACTAATAAACATTTTATTGATCTAATTTAAAAAAAAATTATTGTCAAAGTTCAATTTGTAGAAAAGAAAAAATGGCTTTTTTGGATAACCAATCCACTATGATAATCACCGATTTATATAAAGATCCAATTAATATCCAATTTACAGAAAATCTGAATCTTAATATCATTGCACATTAATATTGAGATTCATCGTGTCTTTTAAGCATTCATGTCTGAATATGCATAAAATTATGATATATAAATATAATCATTGAATTCCTGTACAGGTGGTAGGAACTGGTCTTTAATGTCACATTATCCTGAAAGCACTCCAGCTGTCATGGGACACCAATTTCCCTCCGTTGTGAGAAGTGCCAATGTTGTCTAACTAAGTGCTTTCTAAGCACATATGAAGAACTTTGATGTCATAACGTTAGGTCTCGTATTAAAAGAATACAGTGTATCAATTGCATAGACTGCTTTGCTTTTAGGCAGATGGAAAGGCGTTATTTCAGGGCAGTTGGCCCACATTTCTAGATCAATTACCAGTATTTGTTTAAAGTGAGAGGAGGAGATTACGCAGGACTGTTTTACTGGAACATAACCACAAATGCAATCAGAAAATGGGCTTTTGCAAATTACAGAGATTAGTTTTCCAGAAACTACCTTTCAGTGTCAGCAGTGACCAGCTGTTGTCTTAAGTATTTGGGTGTATGTGCTGTTCCGGTTATCTGACTCATTTGGAATCGATAGTGTGTTTGTCAATAGGAATGGCTAAACTCATGCTGAGCTGTAATAATAGTCACACTGTGTGGGTCGGGGGGGTAACCCTCCCTCTGGAGTGGCTCATTATTGGCTGGTTGTAATTAAGGAGCAATTTATACAAAGATTACTTTAATTAGCCAATTAGCTGATCATTTGCAACATGAGAGTGCTGAAGCAAGTGCCATTTGCAGAGCTTTGGTCTCATCAGAGGAGCTTACTCTTACCAGATCTCTGCTGAGATCTCTTTGATCGAGTGAACGGCTGTTCAGTTGATGAAAGCAGTGCGCTGACATTGTCACGATCACGACAAATGGCTCGAGGACACTTCAAGGCCGTTAGCGGAAGGGTCACTGAGTTCAGGTTTGCTTTTAATGTGGGCTTCAATTATTACTCTATCTACATACATCTGACATACAGTTGCATGCATTAATCTGTGTAATCATGTGTATGGCAGGGGTCAGCAACCTATTTGACACGAAATTCCATTTATATGTAGGCTACAATAAGTATGTGTGTATGGCTATAGTGTGTAGATGTATACTTAATGTTCCATTTTCCTGCAATATACTGGTGTTTTTGTTCATTTTACTGATTACTATATTATTTGAAGCGGTGTTATTTTAGTACCATTGGGATACTGTTGTAGTTTATATTACTATTTGAATTAAAAAATATATATATATTTTTCACTTTTATTTGAATTTTAAATTAAGTTTGTAATTTTTGTTATGTTTTATTTGATCGTTTTTGGATCATTTTGCTATTTTTTTTATGTCTATGAATATGTATAGTTATTTTTTATCTTTAGTTTTATTTTATTACATTAATAACTTAATCTAAATTAAAATGATAAATGTTGCCGTGCCCTAGAATTATTATTATTTATTTTAGATACATTTCATACTAAGCGTAGTTCAAATCTATTAACATATTTACTGACAGATAACCCGAGACTTACTGATATAAAAAATATAATTAAACTTTACTTGGCATATTACTTGTGCACAATGCACTTTTCCTAATATTAAGTCTAAAATGTGTTTTAATGTCAATTTGATGAGGATTGTATTATCTTTGAATAAAATAAGACTTTAAATGCAAAAATGTAAAGTGAAATATACTTGCAATAGTTCCACTTTAGCACAATCAAATATAATAAGTGTCACGATGCACTACATGAGGAACGACGGAGCGTGGAGACGACGGAGAATATCATGGGGAACAATCTTTATTTAACCAAATTAACCAAAAAAAGAAGGAATGAACACACATGTAGCACGGGGATTGACATTAGACACCGAACAAGGAAACCAGGAACAGAACACTCTTTAAATACACAACTGAACAAGGGGATAATGAGACACACCTGGAATCAATGAAACACAACGGGAACAGGAACCGGAAGAACCAAATAGGGGCACAATGAAAAACGAGGGAGAAAGGGCATGGAGAGCTAAACAACAACAAAATTTAAAATGCATTTAAGTATATTTATTTTTCACTAAGGTGGCAATTAGCTGAAAAAGTTTTCTTATGTTTTATTTCAGTTAAGGTTTATTATATTTTAAATTATGATTTTTTTTTTAGTGTTTTGGTACTATTTTAGCTCACTATAATAACCCTAATTTATAATGGTTGTTGCGTTTGATTATACATTTCTCCAGTAATTATGTAGTGTTGAGTGTCACTGTCAGTATGTGGAAAGCTTTTCGGTTTGTGTCTTGAATGCTAAGAATCTATTGGGAGGAAACCTCTCAAACATTAATAGTGGTGACTAAATCAAGCAGGCCCAGTGTTCTGTAAACAAAATCTGTACAGCATGTGCAATTTGCAAGACTCAGAAAATTCAGCATCGGCAAAATTGACTGCTTAAAAACACAATTTATACTTAAAACATACTTAGAGAAGGGTTGTTCATGTTCGCCCAAAGGTTTTTTCCCAAAATCAAAATTGCTATACGCATATCATAAGTTGTCATGCATATTCAATTAATCTATGCAGAACTGGATGAGCTGATAATTTTACTGATTTTTATATTTTAATTTCTTTCAGCACAATGAATAAATCTTTATTGAAGTTATTTTGTTAATTTGTTAAAATGTTATATTTTCAATATCTACATTCATAGAACATGTTAACACAATCTTTAATCAGAATTAGAAAATCATTATAATGCAGCCAAAGATAAATTATGAGAAAGACCAATAAAGACAGTTGTTTATTTGTTACATCACAGGCGTTCATGAATAACCCATTTCTACTTCTGGTATAAAGAAATGCAGTTGTTCTGGTTTACAGTGTGCCATTAGTTGCCTATTTCCTGAAACGCCATTTAAAATGAATGTCTGCAAGAAGATTTTGAAATCCTGGCATTTTCACCACTAGCTATATACGCTGTCTTTCAAGTTCAGTGGAACATTGTTTTCAAAGCTTAAAAAAAAAAATGGCTGGCAAACATATGCCAAGACCGTTTTACTATTTCCTCACACAGAGGTCTGTAGCAGATATTTCATCATATATCTGCTTGAACTGCAATCCACAGAGGATTGAAGAAGACTAGTAAAGGGCATCAGTGCCATGCTCTAAACTACAACTACACTCTTTAAACACTGCAGTGTGTGGGAGAGAAGAGAGAGACCTGATGAACCCATGCATAACCGATCTAATAATAGCTTCTGAACCAATTCACAGATATATGTACCATTACATATTATATATATGATGCATATATAGTCATTTTCATTTATGCATTACATTTCATTCGATTCTGTGTGATTTTGAACATTTAAATGAGCACCAGTACACACACACACAAATTCTGTTCATCAGTAAATAATGAATAAAAGCGCTTTTCTTTGTGCCTTCTTAACAGCAAAATTATTTCTAATCTCATTATAATATTTAGAATAAGCTCACATGTACAGAATATCATCAGTGTGTGAAACACGCTGTTAATGAGAAGGCCAGCAATGGTGCTGCAGGCTAGTAGCAAAAATACATTGCGTTTATTATTTAAGAACTGAATCCACTACACTTAGAAAAGAAAATATGTATTTATAGGCACATTTAATCAAATTTAAATAAGTCCATAGCAAGCAGGACATAATTTGTGCCACGCTATCAGTGGGTTGTGATGCACTAAATACAATATATTTTTGCTACTAGCCTGCAGCATGCGGTTTAGTGGACCGTGTAGATGAATTGCTCAGTGCGTTTTAGTTACTAGTGTTTGTCTTCCATTCAACTCATAATTCAATAAAACAGTCTTCATGATTATAAAGGGTTAATGTCTAATAAAAATACTTATTGCTGTCTTTCTTTATTGCTCATGTGCATGTTAGTCTACAGCACACTAAAGTAACATTTTCACAGTAAAGTAAGCGGGATACTATTTATTCATCAGCCCCTTGGTTTCCTTGGTTCTGTCACTCCATGGGGATGGAATCCGATGCTAGCGATACTTTCAGCCGCAACCTGGCAAGGCCTTGCGTGGGCATTCTTACAAAAGACCACGCTGCTCCCTCGATAATATTTTATCTGAAAACAGGGCACAAGAGCTACTAAACAGGTCAAAGCATGTGCGCTACGGCTGTTCGGGACAGCAGGGGTGGAAATAGGTAAGCTGCGTGACATCTCCACAGCTGTAAGATTGATGTTGTTTCCCTCCTACAC